ACTTCCACCACATAAACTCTTACTTAAAGAAGGTGTTATTCCTTATTCTATTAAGGAACATATGTCCATCAAGTAGACTATGTAATGGTACATGCCTCATCCTTAAACATACTTTACCAATAGTTCTTTATATTAGGCAAATTTAAAAGTACATGAGTTTTCATCCCACTCACACCTTCAGACACAGAAATTCCATTTAAAATGTCCAAAAAACAATTTCCAATACGTTTGGGGCATTGCCTTACAATCTCTAAATGTCAAGGCCAAACATTTGACTGAGTCAGAATACACCTACCACATCCAGTTTTCACCCATAACTAACTTTATGTGGCTTTATCAAGATGCACATCATCAGTAGGATTAAGCATTAAAATACAAAATATATCACTCCAAGGACAGTTATTCCCTTTGAGTCCTACTTTCACTATTAACACAGTCTATAAAGAGGTTTTATATTAAATGCTCCATGCATTGTTTGTAGCACTGAAAGAAATTCTTGATATAAGTCTAATGAACAAATAAAAAAGACTTGAAAAACTTGTATTATAATTATAACATTCAAACAGTATTTGTTAACAGGACAGCATATGCTAAGCAAGTGCTACTATCAATATATAGCTAAATTCTTGTAAGGACAACAAGCCAAGGTCTTCACGAATTTCAGTCTGGATGGAGAGCTCTGATTTTCTATACAAACAAACAAGAGCACAGAGTGCACGAGTAAGTCAAGAATGGAATCGCGCAGCTCGGTTGTTACCTGATCGAAGGTCGAGCATCTGGATAAGCATGAAAGACACGTTAATCCCGTCCACGGCAAATGGATTCTTTGTGCAGCAACTTCAAAACGATCTCTAGAAACGTAGAAAATGTAAGAAAATCTTGATGGAAGGAATGATAAGTAGCATACCAGATAGCGCTGCGCTAGAAAGACCAGATTTTCCAGGGAAATGAATCCACCACCAGAATCGGAGAAATTGCTGGGCATGAATCGATTGAGAAATCCGTGCCTTGCCATCCCATTTCCTTCCAGTTCTCCGTCAAAGAGACGGCCAGGGCGTCTTGCCACAGCACTACCAGTGCTTCCTGGAAGACGGCCATTCTCCCAGTTCAGAAAAAACCATCGAGAAGACTTTATTTTGTTAGGGTGGCATTCATGGAGAGAGCAGAGGCTGCGAAGAAGCGGCAGCGTGTAGCCGGAGATGATACAGTGGAGGCATCTTGACAGCAGATCAAGGCGCTCAATTGCAAGGATCTTCTCAATCTTAACCAAGGTGATCATCGTTCCTTACACAGGCACTTGTAATCTTGGTAAAAGGTTAAGAAAGTCTTTTTTTTTTGTGGGGTCACCGGACTTACAGAAACTGCTATGGCATGTCCTGTCTCTTGAATGTGAGGAAGAGTTAGTCACTGTCGGGCCCAAGGGCATTGGGAAAAGCTGCCGGTTGAGGGCAATTGCGAGCATGTTCTATGCGGGTGGCCCACAGAAGAGTGTGATCGTTTGCGTGTGGAACATGGAGAAGGCCAGAACACCGTTGCAGCTACTGAAATGGCTGCTTGATGGGCTCCGCTTTGCATACTCGGGTGCAGACGAGCACAAGCCGGTTCGTGACGCGGTTCACAAAATGGAAGAAGAAATGGAGGAGGACGGGGACTTCAATGTGCCTGGGAACATAGAGAAATGGATGGAAGTTTCTCAAGGAGAGGGCAGCCGCTGGGGACGATTTCACTTTTATTGCTGATGGTGCGCAGGCTCTGGACACTCGTCATCACAGTGGCATCGAGAGAGCGGGCGATAGAGAGCTGGAAAACACCTTCCTGACGCTCAAAGCCATTGTTGAGCCTTACAAAGTCGTGTGGGGCGTGTCTCCTACAGCACACCAAGTGACTGCCAACTTGAGTGACTCGGAGCAAGTAGTAGTCTATCGTGTCAGGGGTTTTAACAAGGTTTGTGTTTCTATATCTCGTGGTCGTCAACTAAATCCCACCTCGTCTTTCGTAAAGAGAAGTTTTTCTTCTTCACTCTGTGCTGGGAGCCATTGTAACTGGTCATATGCAGCGGACCAAGGACATGGATTTTTACGCTGGTTTCCATCCCCAGTTTCTGGATGAGCTGGACGCGGCTTGCATGGAAATAGCTCGGATTAAGCAGTTAGGCAGATGCGAACCAAGTATTGAGTGGGTTGACGGGAACAACTTCAAACTCGCACCACCAGCTGAACTGGAGCCAAAAGAAGTCTGTATACTTTTGGTAGACGAGGAGGATTGGCACAGGGTGCTCCTGCAGTTCATTAACGGACGTACCATGTCTTCCATCCGCAATACGGTCAAAAAAATCGTCGCAAGGCTGGACTCCACCTGCGATCGGAAATGATCAGTCAGGATCCCAGATACGCACTGTCAGAATGCGAGTTCTGCTCGCCTTTCGTGGAGCAGATCTATGTAGAGGAGTTTCGAAAGGCCCGGAGCTGTTGCTAGTCCCAGTCGCATAAAGTGCCAGCGAGAAGAAACCCGGTTTGAAGCACCGCAAGACTCTGTCCATCAGGACCTGGAGATCAATGTCCCTCGGTCCATATGCCATGGTCTCAAAGCTTGCGTAGCTAAAACCATAACCATCCTCCGGAGTGACGTAAGCACCGCCCTCGACGCTGTTCATGGAGTAGAAGGCGAAGTCGCAGATCCTGGCACCTGGGAGAAGACCATCAATCCCAGCATGGGATATGCAGTGCAGAAGCTTGCCGGCTGACATTCCGCTGCACGATCTGCCAACAGGTGCAGGATATATGTACATGCTGATTACGGCCATGATCATCTACAGAGATATGAGCACTTGATCGGGGTGCAGTACACTGTTAACATAGAAAAGCACAAGCACTCGGAAGAGCAGTTAATGGCCTTTAACTTCTCATAAGGCGCACCACCTCTGCCTGATCACTCCGCACAGGTACACCACGAGTAGCCTTCCTAAACAACACATAGTCGAAGCCAATAATTCACAGCTGAAGAATCTGAAGCGCTGGGAGCTGGATGCATATGGCATGCATGCTAAGCTTGATGTTGGTTCCTTGATGAAGGGAGGAATTGGGAGACAAGCTTCTGGACACAAGCAAAGAGAGTAATGGTTTCTTTGTTTTTTTCCAGAACAAGCTGGTCTCGGAGATCCAGTAATTTTTCAAAGATAAATTATCTGCACAATAGTATGTATGTGGAAGGTCCTGAACTCGAGTTGAGAGCGGGTTGTGCTTAGTACAGCCTGATTAAACGAAGGAAAGAAAATACCGCTCCACACCTTTGGTGCGGGGCCAGTCTATACTTGAGGAACTGAGGAACTGCACCATACGCGAGCACTGGTACGTAGATCATGTAGGTGATTCAATCCTGGGGTGGTGATCAAATTTATGCAGGTGTGGGAAACCATGGGTGTGGAACATGCGTGGGACATTGCTCATCTTCTGTTTTATTCAAATGAATAATTTAAATATTCTGCCATCAATTAAGAGCTCTCTAGAGATCTCAAGGGATTACATTCTTGTAGATCTTGTGCAGCGCATCGATGGTGGTTCTGTTGAGACTGAAAGATGCTTCGAGGACTTCATACGGCAACTTTGGTCCGAACAATGCAGACGATGGTATCTGGAAGGAAGGATTCTGGCTGTTGAGCTTGAGCACCCCCAAAAGAATCGCCTGCTCTCGTCCAACATTCACCACGTAGTGAAGCACGCCTCGCGGGATCACGAACAGATCGCTGGCACACATCTTGTGGGAGAAGAGCTTGTTCGTGTCCACGAAGCCAGCCTCCACAACACCCTTCTCGACGTAAACAAGCTCGCTCGCCCGGGGATGAGTGTGAGTCCTGGCAACACCCTTGGGCCCGAGATAGATCTGCGCCATGGATAGTCCCATGGTGTTGAGAGCCGGGAAAGTGGAATTTGAAATATACCACAACAAACAATGACAACAGACCACTGCACACCGGGATGAGAGCAAGTCTCCAACACGGATTCGGATCAGCGACCTACGCTCAGCCCCGGAAGCCAACTTGGTGCAGCTGTGGGAGAGAGTACAGCAAGCACGCTAGCCACCAACTGCCAGCGCAACATGTAGCCTCATCCCAAAAACCACAACCAAGTGACCCGCCCGGAAGAGCAAGGCCCAGTATTAATCATGCCACACAGGAGACTTCTCTCACTCCCGGTTTTGAGGGTTGACGACAAGCGTATGGAAAGAGATACGACACCGAGGTTTTACAGATGCCTCTCCCGACAACCCACTGGCCCACGGCAGCATGCCCAGTCTCGGACCTCGGACTCTTCATCCGACTCCGACATGGGCTAAATATGGACAAATCCTTAAACTTTTCGGGGACCGGCATCTGAAGTTTTACCCATCCTATCTCGTCCCTGATTGGTCCACGTCAGCATTTGGCTTGATGGCTTGCGTGAAGTTGAAGAGAGGATTGAGGGTGTTTGTAGTATCGGTGTTGGTGCGGAGGAGGCTTGAGTAGAAATCTTTGGAGGTGACTTGCGAGTATGGCTTGCAGGGAGAGCCTTCGATCAAGGTGTTGCTGGGAATGCAAAAGTCCTGCACTGGATCGGGATCGGCAGCTTCCACAAGAGATTGTATGTCGGCTGATGAGAGAAGCGTGAGAGCTATAACAAAGAAGATGTTGAACGCCATGGATTTAAAAACTCCTGATCGCTCTCTGCTGTGATCTAGACCTTGATTCTTTGGCATTAGTTTTCGTCAAGTCTGGGCTTTTATGCTGTGCTGTGTGGAGAATTTTCTTCACAACCGTCTGCTGCACGGAAGGCAGAGGGAAATGCGGTCCCTCGTGTATGATTTTCAAAGTGCCGTACTTACGTACTAGAAGAACTTGGACTACCCTGGGGGGATTTGAACGAGTATAATTGCTTCGCAACATTGCGTCCAGAAGGGCTGATAAATCCAAGCGTCATAATAAATTTAATTGAATTTATTTTGAGTCAAATAATCTTAACCAATAATAATAATAATACACAAGATGGACCGATTCAAATATTAAGTTTTAGAGTCATAGTTTGTCCATTTTCCGAGATTAAAAATCATCTGCACAAGAGTGTGTATGCGGGGAGGTCCTGAACTCGGTAGACATCATCTAGAGACAACTCACGCTCGAGCTGAGAACGGGTTGCGCTTAGGACAGCCTGATTAGACAAAGAACAATCTTAAACAATCTTTCGTTAATCGCAAAGACGAAGAAAGCGAGGAAACGTACGTTAAACTCCATGTAGGAAGCACGCATTGCCAGCCACTGTGCATCCATCATCTCAAACGCTACGCAGTACAGCACGTCAAAAGCTTGCTCGTCTTCTGCAATACCAATATAGCCAGATTCCTTCAAGGACAACGTCGCTGTAATGAAATGGAGAACGTACCGGCCAAGATCTTCGCGAATTTCAGTCCGGATAGAGAGCTCGGCTTTTCTATACAAACAAACAAGAGCACAGAGCGCACGAGTAAGTCAATAATGGAATCGCGCAGCTCGGTTGTTACCTGATCGAAGGTCGAGCATCTGGATAAGCATGAAAGACACGTTAATGCCTGCCACCGCAAACGGATACTCCCACTCGGATCGCTGGCCCTCCTCTTTGTGCAGCAGCTTCGAAAACGATCTCTAGAAACGTAGAAAATGTGAGGGAATCTTGCTGGAAGGAATGATAAGTAACATACCGGATAGCGCTGCGCTAGAAAGAGCAGATTTTCCAGGGAAATGAATCCACCACCTCTGCATGGAATTGGAGAAATTGGCGAGCATGAATGGATTGAGAAAAGGACCTGAAATCCGTCGAAGGATCCGTGCCTTGCCATCCCATTTCTTTCCACTTCTCCGTGATCAAACCATCGAAGAGACGGCCAGGGAAAGCCTCGTGCCACAGCGCTACCAGTGCTTCCTGAAAGACAGCCATTCTCCCAGTTTGAGAAAAAGCCATCTCCGAGAAGACTTTGTCTTACCGCGTGTTTGGAATTGCTTCCATCAAAAGCAACTTGCAAGCGTTTCTGGAGCTTGTGAAGCCGTTCTTCCTGCACATCACGAAAGAATCGTTTGGCTAGTGATGGCGAAAGAAAGAAAGATTACCTGTACAGGTGTTAGATCGATATGCACGATACCTTCGTCTCGACGATACAAAACACGATTGATCATGTCACCAAGCAAGGATCCCGAGCCTAAAAGCACGATTGCTGCAGAGAAAGAAAGAAAGAAATAAAGAAAGAAAGAAAAAGAGAGTGATAGTGTCAAGAGCACGAGCAAAGCTTACACAGCCATTGGCTCCATTGAGCAAGGAGCCGAGTGAAAATCTGCGACCATTCATGCTCCTCCCTTCTCTTCTTCTCCTTCCAATCTTCAAAATACTCATCGTCTCCACCCTGTAAAAAAAAAGTTAAATCGATAAGAGCAAGCAAAGGAAGGAAGAACACACTCCAAGAAGGGGCTCGCTCAATCCATCGGATCCACTGGAGAGAACGCGCTCGAATTTCTTCCCTCCCACATCGCTGTGATGGACGCGCCGCCTCAGCCGCGCCGCGGAACTCATAATCCTGGCGCACAGCGGCGAGCAGCAGCCACACCAATCGCAATCCGCAACCGCGACGCTGCCGAGGACGAGATTCCTGGAGCTAGTCGAGGCGGCGGAGCTGCTGCTCATGGACCGCCCCTAGATCGCCATCGCTGCGATCGCATTTCCCATATTTCCACACCGCTGCTAGGCTAGATCGCGCGATCCAGCTCCCGGCGCTGAGCAAAGGAAAACGCGCGCGAATCTATCTACAGCGCGGGGAGGACCAGCGAAACCCTAAAAACATAGCCCACGAAATTAAAATACCGTGCCATGAGTTTCACCTTTACCTTGTTCCGTACGCCTTCGTTCTCCAAGGTTTAGGGCTTGCGCCAGCGATCGTGGTGATGGATGCGCCGGAGCTCTCTTCCTCGAGGGCGAGCTACCAGCCGCTAGCAGCAGAGGATGGCACCGTGCCCTTCCATCAGCATGAGCGCCCCCTGCGCTGGACCTCTGGGATTTGCGCTTGCTCCGACGATATTCCGAGCTGTGAGTGATCGATCTTTCCTCCTGTGCTTCGCATTTTTTTTCTTTCCCTATTTTGGGCTTTCCGGTGAGTTTCCAGTCTCGATTTTGGCTGCTCTCGACTCTTTAGTTTTTCGATTGATTTGAGCTTCCTTGTTTTATTTCTAAAGTTTTCCAGTATGGGAGGGACTCTTTGATGCTTAGAGTTCTAAGTTTTGTTCTTCGTTTTCGTTTTCACGTTGGTTCTCTGGGACGGGTGTTTCATATCCATTTCCTCTTGGTTTTCTTGTTTGTTTGACAAAGCTTTCCAACTCTTTGATGCATAGTAGAGTGTTGTTTGTTCTGAGTTTCATTCACTGTTCTCTAGTTATGCTTGTTTCATAAGAGTTCTAATCCATTTCCTTGGTTTTTCTTGTGTGTAGGCTGCCTTGGTTTGTTTTGCCCCTGTATACTCTTTGGCCGGAATGTGGAGACTCTGGAAGATCGGCCGTGGGTCGGGCCGTGCGTGATGCATCTTCTTCTTTGGGGCGCTGTCACTGGACTTTGCTGCGCACTGACGGAAGGAACTGCTCTCGGCGTCGCTGCGTCATGCGTGTCATGCTACGCTTGTGGCTACAGGAAAACACTGAGAGACAAGTATAATCTCGAGGTAACTCCATCTCACAGTTTCCAAGTTCTTTTCAAGTTGAAGCGATCTGCTTTCCTTGTGTATCTGACCAACGATTTCTTTTCTTCTTTTTTTTTTGTGTGTTTTCCAGGATGCTCCGTGCGGCGACTTTCTCACGCACTTGTGCTGCCATCCCTGCGCAGTGTGCCAAGAGTACCGAGAAATGAAAGAGCGAGGGACATACTCGGGAATCCCTGTAACTGTTGCTCCTGGAAATCAAGTAATGGTATAGCTGCGATGATTGTAAATCCAATGAAGTATGTTGTTGTGCGTGACGATGGTGACGAGCACCCTCGGGATCAGTGTGGAAGCTGCTCGGCGAGGCTCAAGAACTGTGGCTGGCGGCGATCCGGGTGTCCAAGGCGGTGGAGAATTCGCACCAGACGACGGAGTTTATATTGATTGGAGAAGGTGGTACTAAACCTTTTTTACGGTTTTAAACACTATTTATCTTTTTTAGTGTTGTGTGCCTTTTGACACTAGGGATGCTTATGATTGAGGATTCACGACCTTGATATGGGTAGATTTATCAGTTCTACACTAACTGGACGAGTGGCTGCCACAATGTGATGTAAGGATATAAAATGGTGTTTACAGTTTATGTGTGCCTGATTGGGACCTAGTTTAAGTTTGGGAGTTAGTAGTTGTGGCCAACTTCTAAGTTCTCACTCCATTTTTTAAAGAACTTATAATAACAACTTGTGAGGGCTAAGTGTATGGTTATGATGCCATATATTAATATTAATGTAGTGGGATTTTGGTAGCCGTGAAATTAGTTTCAATCTAGACCACTTGCTCTTGTATATAAACTAGAGTTTTTAGGTTAATTGATATACACATTTTTGTATTCCCTTTTCATATTCCATGCACTCACATTGTTAAAAGTGAGGGGCACTTTTAATTGTCCTTGAGGAATGCTTGAATTTAGGATTTTGGTTTAAATTTAGTTTTTTCCATTCCCTTTCTTTTGTTTTTCCATTTCAGGATTTTGGTTTAAATCTAACTTTTTTTTGCATTGTCTAGATCTTCCATGCTTTTTGTTGTTTCTCTTCTTTTGCTCTTTCTTCATCCGTCTTCATGGCAAATCAACAATTTCCTCCTTTGACTTTGGAGCACCAGTTGGTACAATTGCTTGATGCTATATGTTTGCAATTGAACAACCAAACTCAGTTGATGGCAGCATTCACGGCATGTGGTACAACTCCTCATGCTCTTGGTGCTAATCCTCGCGTTCGGCCGGAGTTCTTTTGTGGGAATCCTGGGGATGATATGTATCATTGGTTTGATCACTTCACAGTGATTGCCACATATCATTCTTGGGATGATGCTCGACGTTTGCGTGAGTTTCCCACGTGTCTCCAAGGGACAGCGTTGCAATGGTACAATGGTCTGAGCACAACCACTTGTGAGGATTAGAGTGTTCTTCCAGACGTCTTCAAACGCGCCTTCGAACATGCTGACGACTGTGATAATGCCTTCCAACAATTGCATTGTCTTCGCCAAGGGCCATCTGAGTCGATGATGCAATTTGGCATTCGTTTCCGAAATCTTTTGCTTTGTGCAGAGCTAAATATGTCGGAGCGGATCAAGTTAGGAATGTTGTGGCCAGCACTTCGTCAAGATTTTGTCGGATTTGTGCATGCACTTGCTCCTGCCACCTTTGATGATGCTCTTCGCTTGGCACAATGTTATGAGACATCGCCTCTTCCACTTCTTGTTGCACGTCCTTCTGCTCCACTTCCTTTGGGTGATGGTCCTATTCCAATGGAGGTTGATGCTGCTGCTGCTTGAGTCCAAGGACAAGTTTGAGGACGTGGTCGTGGCCATGATGTTTGTTGTTAGGCATGTGATGAAGTTGGTCATACTTATCGGCATTGTCAGTGGTTTCCAGATTGGCGACTTCCATTTCTTGGGTGGAGACCTTGGCGTTAGCAACATCTTGTTGGTGTTGTTGCAGTGGATGGTTTGGACACTAAGATACATCTGAGAAACGAGGAGTCACGCGAGTAATGGAGGGACCTTGCGCGAATAAGTCAGTGACCCTTTCATCTTTCTTTTGAGAGTATCATCAAGGTGTTCACTCGGCACCTGTTCATCCAGTGTTTACTTTCCAAACTCGTTTTTATAACAAGAGATCTCCTATTATTCTCTCTGTGTTGGTTGATACAAGTTCGAGTTTATCTTCTATTGCTCGACCTGTTGCTACACGTTGCCATCTACACTTGTGTCGTGCGCCGGAACCAATTTTCATTCTTTATGGCAATGGCCGTACACATGCATGTGCACGGGATGAGGTGGACTTAGTTGTGCATGTGGGTGATCTGGAGCTTGAGTTGCAGTCATTGCGGGTGGTGTCGAGTTAAGCTTTTGACCTCATCCTGGTATAGATTGGTTGCAGTGCAATCATGCCAAATGTGAGTTTGAGGCTTCTCCCCCTTATCTTATACTTCCTTATGTTTCATCCATTCCTCTCACTTCCATACCTCTTCGTCCCTCTACTTTTACCTCTGCTTCCATTACTTTTGTTCCCCCATTATTTCCTTATGTGTTTTCATCTTGTTCTGCTCTTCCCTTTTCCGATCCCTCAGACGATCTTTGTGTTACAGTGGTGGACCAGCTCATGAAGGAGTATTCTAATCTCTTTGAATTTGACTTATCATCTGAGGCCAAAATTGCCATACGTCATCCAATTCCAACTGGGGATGCTCGTCCAATCAAGGTTCCCGTTCGTCGTCGGTCACCCAAGGAGATCTGGATTTTACGTGCAAATGTCAAGGAGATGTTGGAGAAGGGTGTTATTCGAAAGTTGCGGAGTCCTTGGGCATGTGAACCTCATCTTGTGACGAAGCCTAATGAGAGTATTCATTTCTGCATCGACTATTGTCTGTTAAACGAAGTGACGATCCCAGATGTGTACCCTCTTCCTCACACTGCTGATCTCTTGGATCGTCTGGGGCGAAGTCGTTGGTTCACCAAGCTAGATTTTGCTTCTGAATACTAGCAAGTACCGATGGCCAAAGAAGATATTCCTAAGACTATTTTTCGTACACCATTTGGTTTTTATGAGTTCTTGGTGATGCCGTTTGGTTTGAACAATGCTCTAATAACTTTCCAGCGAATGATGGATGAAGTTCTTTATGATATGTCGAAGGTGACTACTAACTTCATTAATGATGTCTTGATCCACTCGGAGGGGACGTGGGAGGAGCACGTTCATGATGTTTGTAAAGTGTTGGATCGGCTATGCGATGTTGGTTTAAAACTGAAGCGGTCGAAATGCATGTTTAGGTCCAAGGATACAATTTATCTTGGGTACTGTATTTCTCATGAGGGTTTGCAAGTTGATCCTGACAAACTTGTAGCTGTTCTAAAGTTCCTTACTCCGAAGTGTGCAAATGATGTGCAATGCTTCTTGGGCAAGGTGCAATATCTCGATCGTTTTGTGGATCATCTTTCTAATCGCACTGCACCGTTGCGAGCATTACTGAAGTCATCAACATCATCTTTCATTTGGTCTCCGGATTGTGAGTGGGCGTTCGGGGATCTCAAAGAGCTGTTGACGACTCCTCCGGTTTTGGCATATCCTGACTACACTCGACCTTTTATTTTGTGTGTGGATGCTTGTGACATTAGTTTTGGAGGTGTGTTAATGCAAGAAAGCTCGAGTGTGCTTGGTCAGTGTCATCCCATTGTGTATATAATCTGTACATTATAACTAGCGGAAATGAACTACTCCACGACAGAGAAGGAGTGTTTAGCAGCAGTTTGGGGGGTTTCGAGAAACTTCATGCATATCTACATAGTTCTTGAACGTTACTTGAAGGTGATCATGCTACTGTTACTTCATTATTGAAGCGGAAGAACCTGGTTGGTCGTACTTCTTGATGAGCTTTGAAGCTTCAGATATATGATTTTGATATTGTTCATCGCCTAGGGAGTTTTATGGTTGATGCTGATGCCCTTTCTCGAGCTCCTCTTCCTTCTCCATTCTCTTCTCATGTTTTTGATGAGCTTGTTGTTCCAGCTTCTGTGGATTTTCTAGATGAGGATTTTGTGCCGTCGGCAGTTGCTGTATTTGATGTTCAGTGTCCACAAAGTGCAAAATAATATTTACCTTCTTTTGATGAGGTTTACGAGGCTCAAAATATTGAGGCGTAGATTCGAAAGCTTCGAGATGGGTTTGAGAATCCTACATCACTTGTTGATGACTTGCCTTTCTAGCATTTACATTCTCAATATCACCTTGAAGACAGCCTTCTTTATTTTGTGGGGACGGATCCTGATGATCATTTACAGTTGGTGGTGCCTTCTATCTTTATTTCACGGTTTCTCCATGCCTACCATGATTCTCCTATTTTAGGTGGGCATATGGGACATTGTCGTGTAACTGAGAAGCTGCGCAGGTCTTTCTATTGGCCGGAGATGCAATATGATATTATCCAGTATGTGCGTAACTGCGTTTGGTGCCAAGTTCGTAATACTCCCCCTCAAGCTGCGGAAGGACAATTGGAGTCAATTACAGTTTCCCATCCGCTTGAGTTGGTGATGTTTGATCTTATGGGACCTTTTCTATAGTCAACTACTGGTAATGAGTATGTTATTATTGTTTCTAATTGCTTGAATCGTTGGGTGGAAGTTGGTGCTCTTGCTAGCACCTCTAGAACTACTGTTGGATACTTCCTCCTTAATCGAGTGGTGTTCTAGCATTCTTGTCCAGAGTAGATTCTTTCGAATAATGGTCCTGCATTTATGGTTGAGGCATTTCATGTTTTGACGTCTCGGTTGGAGATACACCACACTTTCACGAGTGCTTATCATTCACAATCAAACGGTCTGGTGGAATGGCTCGTTCAGAGATTCAAGGGGATAATTGCAAAGCATGTGAACTTTCAACATTCGGATTGGGATGGTCATTTGCCGTCTCTTCGGTATACATATGTCACAGGGGTGCAAAGTTCTATTGGTGCTTCACCATATAAACTCCTATATAGTCATGATCTAATATTACCAACGGACTTGGGTTTACCTTCGCAATTGCCATGAGTTGCGGATGCTAGGTCATGGGATTAGTATTTGATGAACATTCTTCCACTTGTCCGAGTGGAGTCTGCCGAACACTTAGGCTACGTACAAGTGGGACAACACTAGCAATACAACTCACATCATTATCCACCTGCAGAGTACAAAGTGGATGATTTGGTGTTAGTCCATTTTCCCCATCTTACGGTACATGGTTTATCTAAGGGGCTCCTTACACAGTGGAAAGGACCATATCAGGTGTTACGGCAAGTTGGACCACAAGTTTATAAGGTTTGGCATGATGTCCAGCAGACTAATCCTCTAGAGATTGTGCATGTGTAGTGGTTGAAACACTTCATACAAAGGGATCAGGAGCAGTTAATACCACCTACAAATTTACTAATGCCTCCTCCTGACGTTCCTTCAAATCCCGGCCCGTCTATAAGAGAACCTTGATGGTTTTCCATTATTTCAAGAGGAGGGGATGATGTGAGGGCCAAGTGTACAGCTACGATGCCGTATACTAAGATTAGCGTAGTGGGATTTTGGTAGCTGTCAGATTAGTTTCAATCTAGACCATTTACTCTTATATATAAGCTAGGGTTTTTGGGCTAATTGATATGCACATTTCTGTATTCCCTTTCCATATTCCATGCACTCACAAAGTGAAGCCTGAAGCAAAAACGATGATTTTGCAACTTTTCTTTAAAATCTAATGATAAATTCTATAACAATAATATACATTTTAAAAATAAGTCTACCAAAATGAAGAATTTATAAAATATGTGAAATAGGAATAATAGTATCATCAAATATCATCATTTTTAACTTACATGAACTTAATAATTTATTAATAACTTACCTTTTGAAGTTGGTAGCAAAAAGAATAGTCCTCAAATTTGATATTTTGAATTCACATTAATTTGTGATTTTTATTTTTCATATAAATGAAATACATTGGTTTGTTAGAATATATTTTATTCATTAAGCTATAAATATATAAAAACCATTAAAATAAATATATTTGTTTTTATTTTAAAAAGTCTAATATAATAACTTCAAATTCTGTAGTTTAACTACATTAATAATAACTATTGTTATAACATTTCAAGATTTTTGTTACTTCAAATGTCATACGTAGTTATGAATTATGAATGAAGGTGGATTAATTTTTCTCATTATTTATATAATTAAATATATTATTTTCTAACTATAAATTAGAAAAGGTGAAAATATTTTTAACTTAAATTATTCTTTTCTATTATATTATGATCTATTATATTTCCTTTATATCATAATATGTTCAGTAAATAACTTAGTTACTGTAATTGTTCTAATTATTTTAAAATTAAAACGAAAAAAGAGAGAAATATTCAAACTAACTGTAATTATAATTTTTAATTGAGCTATTTTTAAAAAGTGTAAGAAAAAGAAAAAAACGTTTGAAACAGCTAAAGAAGAAATATTTTTTTCCACGGGTCTGCTGACACATCTATTCACAGTCCGCAGGTTTAAGCCCCTAAATCTCATTGAAAAAATGTTACCAATACCACATTTCAAACTAGGAGCCCAAAAAAAAAAAAGAAAGAAAAAAGTAAAAAACGTGGAGAAACTTAAGTACCAGGCGTCCTCCTCTCAGTATGGAACCACGTACGGCAACGCATACACGCCCACGGCTGGAAGAAATCGCGCCTCGGCCCAAACCTGGTCTTCCTCCTCCCTCTCCTTTTCCTCCCCTGGTTTCTTCCCCTCGTCCCTTCTCCTCTTATGATACAGCCACTCGAGGTGCGCGTCGTCCTCCTCAAGCCTCTCCTCCTTGATCTCCGCAAGCTTGATCTCTGGAAATCTATGCCGCTTCTCCTTCTCCTTCTCCTTCTCCACACTTGGTGGCGATTTCTTCTTTGTATCCTGCTTTTGCTCTTGATCCTCCCGTCTTACTCGACCGTCTTCCTTCTTTTGATCCTCCCTCCTCGCTCGATCGTCTTCCTTCATTTGATCCTCCCTCTTCGCTCGATCGTTCTCTCTCTCTTGATCCTCCCTCTTGCCTCGATCGTCTTCTATCTTTTGATCTTGGTGGTGTTGGTGTTGCTGTCCCTGCTGCTGTGCTACTACTTGCCCGGTGTCGAGCGGCTTTACCATAACTAAAGGAACCTTGCCATTTATCTCGGTGTCTGTAACTACGTACTTGGAAGTGCTCGCCACTGCTGCCGCCACCCCGGCCTTGGAGTTGGAGTTGGACTTGGAATTGGAGCTTCCATCCAGGACTTGAGTAGAACTAGAGCTCCTCGCTTCCAAAACCTTGCCTGTCTCGGTCGCTTTCGCTTCCTGGAGAACGGCCTTCCCAGTCTCGGGAGCTTTTGCTTCTTGCCACCCAGTCCCAGTCCCCGTGACCCTGTCCGATAGCTTCGCATCTTGCAAACCTTTTCCAGCCTTTGTCGAGCCAGTGGCACTCTTGCTATCAGCAGCAGCTTGCAACCTCCCATTCTCTCCCCCAGAAACATCGTTGCTACTGGCGTGCGTCTTTTGGTTCTTGCTAGATCGCTTATCCTTGTCTGTAAACACAGGCAAGTGGATCCCAAGGTCCCAACAGGCTAAGCCATGCACACGCACACAAAGGAAAGTTACTTACGTGAATTATTCTCATTCTTGTCGTCCCTCTTTCGTTTCTTCTTCTTCTCTTTGTCTCTGTGCTTGTGCTTCTCCTTGGAAGTAGCAACCTTGAGAATCGAAGAGAAAAGAAACAAGAAAAAAAAAAACGGCAGCATTAGTACACACTTCGAGCAAAAGAAAAAGAGTTCTCTTTTATCTAGCAAGGGAAAAAAAAAACGAAGAGGCACCAACCTGAGCAGCAGGAACTATGTCCGCAATGAGCTCGGTGGTGGCTTTCTTTTCGTATCCCGGTGGCGGGTATGGATGACACCGAGACATCGAGGAACCCTAAGTGAGCGTTTAGTAGAGGAGTGGCGACACCAGCACCCAGAGGAGGTGGGCTCTATCAGCTGCCACCACTGCACCATTACATACAGCCCCCACTGCCCTCCACTGCGATAATTCTCAGCTCCTATGCAGCGATTCTCCAAAAGGGATGAAAAGGGAAGAAAAGGGAGAGGGGACGACGAGGCTCAAAATCTCCCACGCCGCCACATTTCACCGCAATCCGGCGATCCCTGCCCAGGACCGCAATTCCCTACACCTGCTGCCAAATCCCGCGCCCTCATCCATCGGGGCTCCCGGGAATGCTACCACAAAAACCAAAAACCCTGGAAATTTTCTCCTCTCTCGCTCGATGCGCGATGCCGATGCGATGGCGATGCGCGGCGCGGTGCGGCGCGGCGCTGGGGCGACGATGCGAGGCTCGTGGGCGCAATCAGTCCGCCAGCTCCCGCGATTCCAAGGATTTGCTGCTAGGCCGTGCTAGAGGAGAGCTTAGCCGCTAGGCGCAAGCGTCTGGGAATGGGAGCAAAAAAGGGCACGCTGGCAGCCCTGGCCTCCTTTTTATTCTGCCCTAAAGCTATCATTAAGCTAATCCCCAGCTTACTCTAATCAACATCCTTAAGGCAAGACCTAACAGAGATAGAATATACCTTAGAATATTCAAGGAAATTGACAGAATATCCTAAATCTAAGAGGCATATACCAGCGAGATTAAGTTAAGCTAAGTTAATGGGAAGTTAGCCAATCGCGAGCTTTCTCTCTGGCGAGGACGAACAAGGGTCGCGTTGCGGCGAGTGGGATTCCAGAACCACACTTCGCGCGGCTTCCATGGCGAACTGTCCGTTCACGTAGTGCTTCCTACACACGGGCATGTAGATGTCCGCCCCGCCGATCACCTCCTTGCGTCGATCGTCCGTCTTTCGAAACGTGAATGCCGCGGCCCGGCCGCAAATCTCACACCTCGACGAGAGCTTGGTCACGGAGTCGGCCAGGGGGACGAGATCCAGCGCCGAGCCGAAGCGCTGCCTGCGACGGATCGAGGAACAGAGATAAAAAAAAAGAGAGTTTTTTTGGTTCTTGGTACCTCAAGAAATCGCCGTCCAGCCCAGCAACGATGAGAGTTTTGCCGTCCCAGTCGGCCGCCGACTGGCAGAAGCTCAAGAGATCGTCGAAGAACTGCGCCTCGTCAATGCCGATGATCTCGGCCTGGTTGGAATCCAAGTGAAAGATTTTTTGATTTTTCGTTTTGGAAGTTTTGAGTACCTGTGCGTAGAGCTCGGGCTTGTTTGACTTAAAGTCGGAGAGCGATGCAACGGCGGCACAGTGCATCTTTTTGCCGCTGTGCGAGACGATGCAGCCGAGGCCATATCTTGTGTCCTTGTCCGATTTCACCAAGGCGACTCTCCTGGAATAAACAAGAAAAGCAACGAAACAAATGTGAGAACGATGTTCCACCAGTTGTAGATGCGCTAGAAAACAGAAGCAAAAATCTCGACTTCTTCTTTTGTGGAGCTGTTCGAGCCCCGTCACGACAAGGATGGCGAAGGAAGCGTTATAGACTGATTGCCTCAAATGGACAAAAAAGATTTAGCCATAAGATCGTGCTTAGGACGGTGGACACGAGCTAATGCTCGATCTACACGATTCCTTTTACGAAGACGAACGAGCAAAAGAACAAACATAAACGAGAAAGAGATCGTTCCAATGCTCAAACAAAGAAAACAAAGAAACTTCTAAGCAGGGATTACACGATTCCTTTCACGAACAAGAACGAGCTAACGACCCACATAAACGAGAAAGAAAATGCAAAGAGATCGCTCCAATGCTTCAGAGAAAGAACGCAAAGAAACTTCTAACCAGGGATTTCTACGATTCCTTTCACGAACACGAACGAGCGCAAGAACAAACAAACCGAAAATGAAAATGCAACCAGGGAGTTCTAATGATCTACACTCCTCACAAACACGAACGAGCGAAAGAACAAATATAAACAAGAAAGAAATGCAAACAGATCGTTCCAATGCTCCAAACAAAGAAAGCAAAGAAACTAGAGAAACTTCTAACCAGGGAATTCTTTGGAAGAACACATACCTCCCAGCATCGGCCTCCGCTTGAATCCTCTGGAGCAGCACCGTGGTCTTCCCAGCAAACATCGGCCCTAGAATCAAATGTATGCCGCCGTCGGGAGATTCTCGCCCATTCTCCGCAAAATCGGCGCTGGCGCTGCTCCGGCGGGAGCAGAACGATCGCCGCGCGGGCAACACTGGCGATCCCACCATTCTAGAATCGCGGCATTGCAGCGCCTGGGATGAGGAGGAGCAAGAAGCCGGGGCGAGGCTGTGCCGCCGCGATGCCGCCGCCGCTGCCGCTGAGAAGATCCTGGACCTAGACGACGCGATTGCCAGCGACGAAGACCCTAACAGCATTGCTCGTCTCTCACAGCCTCTTGGAATCAATCAAACGCCTCCATATACGATATATTATAAAACCCCCAAAACCCCCTCGAATAGATAGATAAGAGATCTTTCCAAAATTTTCCCGCATAGGCTAGGTTACCCTAAAAATTCGTTCTTGGCTACCATGTCTAGTGTAATCCTCGCTGGGAGTATTCTATGGAGAACCCAGCAAGGTCCTCTCTCCAGGTAAAAATCTCTAAGATCGATTCTTACATCCAAATTTTGGGGTTTTTGCTTAGATTTGGGAGAGCTGCTCGATGTTCTTGGTGCCAATTATCGCGGCACAAGAAAAGGTCCAAATTTTCGTTTTTTTCGTGTTTTTGTGGAGGGTCATTTGGCTTTCGTGTGTGAAGAACTTTCAGTGTTGCTAGAGCGCAGAGGAGCGAAGAATCCGCCGCGAAAGAGGCCGCAAAGACAAATGTAGGAGGCCCAACCATGTATGTAGAGATTGATTCCTCAAGAAAGGTTCATCGATGTTTCTCCCAGATTTGATAAAATCCTCAGCAAGGAGATTCCATCCACCATTGTCTACGAGGACGACAAGGTAAGTATCTCCTTCTAATCAATATGATCGCTGCTTACACTCTTTAGATCAATTCACGCGAACAAGGCACTGGCATTTAGAGACATCAATCCTCAAGCCCCAGTTCATGTGGTACTGATTCCAAAGATCCGGGACGGTCTCACGCAGCTCTCCAAGGTTCTCAAATCTATTATATACTACTTGCATTGATTGTTTGATCTAAAGTTCAGTTCTATTCTTGTTTTTCTTTTCAATCCTTCTAGGCTGAAGAGAAACACAAGGACGTTCTTGGACACTTGCTTTATGTGGCTAAACTCATTGGTGAAAAAGAAGGGCTGGGAGATGGTTACAGAGTCGTCATCAACGATGGCCCCCTCGGATGTAAGTTTGATCGATTACTTCGTTGGTTGATCACCCTGTAATTCTGCAGGTCAGTCTGTTTACCACCTTCATCTGCACATCTTGGGAGGAAGACAACTTAAGTGGCCACCAGGTTGATATTTGTATGAAGTTCATGCGGCATGAATTACACCTCCCCTTTGTAGTCAGTCCGGCCTCTTTAGTTAAGGACCAGACTACTCCCACTTTCACAGCTTTTTAGCTTTTCGACGAGGACAAACTCCATGCTTGTGACACAGAGATCCTCGCCCTCAATTAGTAGTGCAAGGCCTTAGTCGAGCAACTTCTTACTACCAAGAATAAGCTCAAGGTCGCCATCCACTCCAAAGTTCTTAGTTCAATCCTCTTTTCTCCTAGACAACTTGTTCTTCTCAAGGAATTCACTCCCTCCTTATTGGACCTTCTTAAAGAACAAGGTGGTCTAAAGTACCGTTCTTCTCCATGGAAAGAGATGAAGAACACATGATCTCACCCTCGTCAAGAGGCTATTGTATATCCAAACACACAGAATACTCAGCTGACGGTTCTGGGGATTGACGTTCTCCGTTCTCTGCAAAGCAATACGACAAGCAGTAGAGGATGTATTTCAGACAACAAGATGCTAAAGGGCCGGCTCAAAGTAGCCTGGGAACACAGTTACTCCTTCCACCCTTTGCATGCGATGAGCAGCTTTGTCGAAGATGACTGCAATGAAGTGCTTGCTGTGGTCCCTGAATCTGCCCACCATTGACATGTACGCCTGCTCTAGACCCTGCACACAAATACTATCCAATCAACTGTAAAAGACTGTGCTAAAACACATGCCAAGGCAGCAATTTCGCGTTCCCAAGAGCAGCAGGGATCGATGTACAAGTCAAACACGGCTGATATGATATATTACCATATCAGTGTCCTCAAGATTCCCCTGCAGTTCTGAGATCAGTGATCCACAACCAAGTCCTTACAGTCAAAAACAGAGGGGGTATTTTGTCGCTCTCGCATCGTTTTATCACCGAACCACAAGGCGATGATACAGGGTGATGATACAACGACATAAACAAAAACCACCCACAACTAAAACCCTTTCGTTCTTGTGAAAAATATGAACCAGACTTTAACCAAACTCCAGTATTTTACTTTCTGATATGAACAGTTCAAATTCTATCGAAAACCAAACCACAATGATAATTCAAAGCCTGACTTTACTTACTGAGAAAAAGAAGCACTGTGGAGAAGTTGACAGATCTCGTTGGCGAGCAAATTTAGGGTTTATTGTATTTGCGTAAACCCTAAACCCATGCTAAAGCATGCCCTGAATAAAACCCTAAACCCTAGGACACCTGAATCTCGACGGGTTTCTTGGCCTCAATCTTCTTCTTGGGCACCGTCACGTAGAGCACGCCGTCTTTCAGCTCCGCCGTGATCTTGTCCACCTCCACATTGTCCGGGATCATCACCCTCGACTCGTAAGACCCCACGCTTCGCGCCGCCCATTTGTCGCCCCCTTCCTTCCTCTCCTTGCTCGTCTCGCCCTTGATGAGCAAGAAGCCATCGTCCACGATCGATACCTTCACCTCGTCCCTGGCGAGCCCGGGCATGTCCACGCGCATCCTAAAGGCCTCCTCGTCCTCCATCACGTCCCACGGCAATCGCCCGGAGCTCCGGCGCTGGATCGTGGGCAGCATCGATGGCGCCGGCGTCGGCATCGCTCCAGTCTCCAGCACTTGATTCATCGCGTCGAGCATCTGGCCGAAGCTCCTGGACGCCGGCATGAATGGATCCCACAAATCTGTGAAGAGAGAGAGACATTCGCGATTTCTAAGAATCACTCCGGGAGAGAGATTTCGATCGGAGATTCTTACCCAGCGGCGAGAGGGGCGAGGATTGTCTTCTCGATGCCATCGACGGCCTTTGCTGCTGCTGTTGCTGCTGGGGAGGGGAAGAGGATCCATTCGTTCTCTGGAGCTGCTGGGGCGAGGATTGCTGCTGCTGGATCTTGATGCTGTTTTGATCCGGCGCTGCCGACGCTCTAACGCGCAATCGCCTATCGCGAGCGCAGGGCCTGGCGCTGGAGCTGCGATTGCCTGGCCGAGAACAAACCCTAGTAATCGCTGGAGGAGCGCATAGAGCTAGAGGATTAAACACCAAAGCCATTGTTCTTGGATACTCACCCAGTAGCTCTCTCCGGCATTTAAATGGGAAGAAAAGAAGGCTCTAGAGATCTCTAGTTACTCAGACACGTGGCAGAATCTGGGACGTGCATAATGCCAGGTCAGAATTCCTGCCACGTCGATGACCACGTCAGGATTGCTTTGTTCTGGGCTCGATTCCCGTTAAACCCCACAAAGCAAAATATTTCTTCTTTTAGGGTTTTTTCCCCGAAGCTCCGAGCTATGGCGGGTATGCTTCCCAGCCCGCTGAAGTTCGCGCCCTCGGAGGAGGCCAGCGTCGCCGCATTCGATCCCGCCGATCTGGAGGATCCATCCGTGAGCCTGGGCAGCTTCTCCAGGGATTTGGGGGCGGCGGGCAATCACCAGCAGCAGCATCACCAGCATCATCCGGCAGCGATGGAGGAGGGGCTCGGCGGCGACGAGATCGACAAGACGGAGAGCGTAGGCAGCAAGAAGAAGCGGGCGGAGATGTGGCAGGACTCGGAGATGGACGCCCTGGTAAGCGCTTACAAGCAAGTCCACATGAAGCTCCTCCTGGCCGGGAAGAATGGCAAGCACGTCTTCAAATCCGCCAACGAGAAGTGGACCGAGGTGAGGAATTTGCTGCTGCCGATGGGCGTGGATCGGCAGCCCAAGGAGATCGAGCGAAAGTGGTCGAATCTCTTGACGGCCTACAAGCAAATCGTGGAGTGGAACAAGAAGATCGGGCATCCCAGCTACTGGGAGCTGGACGATGTTCTTAAGAAGGAGAAGACCAAGGCCAAGGAGCTCCCGGCGACGTTTAGAGTCCAGTTGTTTGAGAGCATGGCGGAGTTTCTCGGGGATAGGAATGGAAGGAGGGCGCGGTGCTTGGATCCAAATGGAGCTCCCGGGAATGGCAACTCCACCATGGCTGGGAACTCCACGGTTGCTGGGAACTCTAGCAGCAGTTCCTTGTCTCGGTTTGAGATGGCTCTAAGTACGTTGCGAGTTCTTCCATTTCTTTCTTTTTTTTCGCTTTTCTTTCGTTTTTTTCGTTCGTTTTCATTCGGTTCATTCTGCTTATAAGATTTGCAGGTCATGTCGATGTTCCAATCTGCTTGGACAAGCTCGGGAGCCAGCTGATACGAAACTTGGATGGCTCTTTGCGGTGAGAGTTTCAGTCTCTTTTTGATCGCTCTTAGCAGCTGGGTTTTGTTGGTTTTGCCAGGAGACCGGGTGTCATTCTCGTTGCCACCGGAAGCTTCAATCCTCCGACGATCATGCATCTTCGAATGTTTGGTATGTCTTTCCAGGCATTCGTAGTTTACATTCACTTTTTTTGTTTCATTTTCTAGAGAGCTCGCCAGGAACTTACATTCGGTTTTTCGTTTTCTATAGAGCTCGCCAGGAACCGTTTGATGTCGGAGGGATATAGTGTACTCGGCGGTTATATGTCTCCTGTTCACGACGGATATGCAAAGCCTGTAGGTTCTTCTCCAAACATCGATGTTACTTAACTCGCTTTTCGTCTTCCAGGGGCTGGCTCTAGCTGAGCATAGAATACAAATGTGTCAAATCTCTACAGCAGACTCGCCATTCATCATGGTTGATAGCTGGGAGGTAAAAAAATGGTTTTTTTTTTCTTTGGTCTTCTCATCTTGACGCTTAAGTTTCCTTTAGGCGAGGCAACCAACACGTCAACGAACTGTCGATGTTCTAGCTAGAGTAGATCACTGTATCAATGGGGGAATGATCACTGAAGGTCAGCGACTGATAGATTCTTTTTGCGTTTCAAGGAACTGAAGTAAACGTCTGTCACGCTACGCAGGAACCGTAAGGATAATGCTGCTTTGCGGAGTTGATCTCCTCGCAACTTTGGAAGACGCAAGCATTTGGATCCCGGATCACGTAGAGCGAATCTGTCGAGACTACGGGATCGTCTGTCTCAGCAGGGACGGACAAAGCATCGACAAAGTCGTCTTCCAAAACGAGACTTTGCACAGACACCGAGTAAGCTCCCAGCAGTCTTCTCATTCTCTTGTCATGGTTTTGTGTTCTCCGGAGATTTTGCAGAGAAACATCCTGGCTATGGAAGACATGGCACAGATCGGCGTAAGCTCCACAATCGTCAGGTGAAGAAAAATCACTCTTTTGTCTCTAAAATCTCTCGTTTTCTTTCTTCGCAGGCAAAGCTTCGAGAGGGCACTGTCGGTGAAGTATCTAGTTCACGATGGCGTGATCGAATACGTGAAATCCCACAGGCTTTACAACTACAGGGAGTGATAGAAAAGGTATCACTCCTTTGTGTCAAAGAAGAAGCATTGATTATGAGAGATGGTGATGATCTTTCTCCTTGTATATATTAAACATGGCCTTGAGGGGTGCGGCATTGCTGGGATCTAGATCGCCCATCTCTCCACTGGATCTCTCGCCGCGATCCAGATCGCGCTGGGTCCTAGACGCCGTGAGCAGCGATCCCCAAGCGGTGTCTCCGGGGAGGAATGGCATGCTCTCGACGAGCTCCTCGGCATCGGCCAATCGCCCAGCGCGCGCGAGCGCATCCACGACGCAGCAGTAGTGCTCGCGAATTGGGGCGAGCCCGTGATCGCCGATCATGGAGACGAAGAACTCGATCGCGTCCTCCAATCGCCCCACCCGGCTCGCGGCGCTCAGCACGCTCGAGAATGCCGCCTCGTCCGCCCTGAGCCCCTCCAGGCTGATGATCCACACGAGATGGATCGCCTCTCGCGCGAAGCCATTGCTCGCGAACGCGGCAGCCATCGCCGTCCACGAGATGCGATCCCGGACTGGCTGGGCGTCGAATATCCGCTTCGCCTCGAGGATGTTCCCGTTGTCGGCATATGCCGCGGCCATCGCGGTCCAAGATACCACGTCCGGCTCGGGCAGGGAGTCAAAGAGGATCTTTGCCTGCCGGATATTCCCTTGCTGGGAATATGCAGTGATCATGGTCGTGCACGCCGCGGGGCTTGGGAAGGGAATCCGGGCGAAGATACGCTTTGCTGACTCTAGATCCCCCATTATGGCATTTGCGGTAAGAAGGGCATTTGCTGAGACGGTGTCGAATTGGGGCATGGAATCGAACACGCGACGCGCCTGCGCTAGCAAATTGTTCTGGGAATATGCCCGGACCATGGCGGTGTAGGAGAGGGAGTTCTTCTCTGGGATGCGGTGGAATATCCACTCCACGCCCTCTACGTTGCCGGCCTGGGCGTGCGCGGAGAGGAGCGTGTTCCAGGCTAGGGTTGTGTGCATTGGCATTCGATCGAAGAAATCCTGCGCGTCGTCCGGCCGCGCGCGGTGCGTGTGCGCCGAGATCATCGAGTTCCACGACACGGCATTGCGCTCGGGCATCGCATCGAAGAGCGCGCGGAGGCGATCGAGGTTCCCGGCTAGGGTATTTGCGGCGAGCATCGCGGTCCAGGAGACGACGTCGCGCTGCGGCATCCGATCGAAGAGGCTGTCCGCGGCATCCAGCTCGCCGGATCGAGCGTAGGCCGTGACGAGCGAGTTCCAGGTGATTACGCTGCGCCGCGGCATCGCATCGAACATGGATCTTGATATTTCAAGATCCCCGAGCTGGGAATAGGCCGCGATCATCGAATTCCAGGTACAGATGCTCTTCTTCTCCATCCGATCGAAGAGCTGCCGGGCCTGATCCAGCTCCCTGGCGTGGACGTAGGCCGCGATGATCGTGTTGTAGGCGACGGTGTCGGGCGAGGAGATGCGATCGAAGAGCCGCCGCGCCTCGGCGATCTGCCCGGCTTGGGCGTAGGCGCGGAGCATCGTCGTCCAGGTAACCACATCTGGCTCGTCCATCTTGTCGAAAACTTCCCTCGCTCTCTCTAATCTTCCATTCTCTGCGTAGGCCGCGATGATCAAGTTCCAGGAGAAGGAATCTCTCTGGTACTTGTTCACGAATACCTCCCAGGCCTGATCGAGCGCGCCGCATTTGCCATACAGGTAGATCAGCCGGTTGAGGAGGAAGGGCTTCTGGCGGATGCGAGCATTGGGGAGGATCTGGTCGTGGAGCCGCTTGGTCTGCGAGAGATTGGGCTTGATCGCCGCGCATCGCAGCTCCTCGAGGAGCTGGTCGTGGCGGAGGGAAGCCCTCGTGACGGACTGCAAGATCTTCATCCCCGCGTATCGTCACCGTTGATCGCGAGAGGCTTTCCGTTACGGAACTTTGCCTCGCCTTTCCGTGGCGGAATCCTCTGGAAACCCTGGCGAGAGGGGAGTTCCAGTCCAGGCCCATGCCGCCTAACGTGGTTTCGGAGGTAAAGAGAAAAGAGAGGGCTCCGGCGCTCCTAACTTCCTCTATTCTTGCAGGCTAGCTTGAGCACTCGCGCTTCGCAATGGTGGGCGAGCATTCCGGCGATCACTGGAGGAACTCTCATCCTCTGCGTTGCCATCTACATCGTGGATCTTCTCATTGGCTACGACAATTTCCAGCAAGTGTGCTTCTCCACAGACAGTGTGATCGGTAATTTTCAAGGTAAGTTTCAAGCAAGGAATTTTTTTTTCTGGCAAATGAAGAAGTGTGTTTCTTCCTTTTCAGTGTACAGGGCTATCACCGCTGTCTTGTTCCATGCATCGCTTCTACACGTTCTTTTCAACATGCTTGCTTTGGTTCCCATTGGAAGCTCGTTGGAGCGTATTATGGGGTCCGTGAGATATCTTCACGTCATCTTGCTTCTGGCCGTGAGCAACGCGGTGATTCACATCCTCATTGCCTACATTGTCGCGTACAACCCGATTTATGTGCACAAGAGTGTGTTGATGGAGTGTCAGATTGGTTTCTCCGGCATTCTCTTTGCCATGATCGTCATAGAAGGCAGCCTCTACACCGGCCAAAATCGAAGGTATTGTTGGATTTTCTTCGCTTCAGTCGGCTAACTTCTTGCTGTAGCATCTTTGGTTTGTTCAACGTGCCTGCAAAATGGTAAGGACATTTTCTGCTCTTGTAGCCTCTCTAAAGTTTGATTTACAGGTATCCATGGGTTTTATTGATCATTTTCCAGATGATCATGCCAAGAGTTTCGTTGCTCGGGCATCTTAGCGGGATTTTGTCTGGATTTGCATGTCCGTAAGAAGGTTTTTGGCTTTGATGCGTTTTCTGATTCACGTGGTTTTTGTAGATTCTTATGGATTGTTCAACGTCTTAATGCTGTCCCAGGCGACATACACCAAGATCGAAAGCTCTTCTTTACTTGTAAAAAGCACGATTTTTAAGGCTTTAACTTCTTTGATTGAAACAGGCATCGTGCATGAGAAGGCCGGGATTTATTGTTGGGGGTGGCTCTGCCAATGCAACTCTTCCTACGTTTTCTACTTCGAGGTATGTTGTTTGGCCTTGGCTTTCTGTCATCTAAAATATTGCCTTTCGCCTTTCGGCAGCAGTAACACCCTCAACTTTGGTGACACGTGGAGCCGCTTGCGGTCTTCGTTGACGCCACAAAGAGACGTTCCTATCGATGAGGTATTTTACGCACAAAGCTTCATGCGGTGCGCCTGACTTTGTTCCTTTTGGCAGAGGTTCCCCGGCACTGGTAGAACACTGGGAGGTGTTTCAAGGCTGCAGCAACAAACCACGCCGCCAGCAACCGCAAATGCGACGGATCTAGAAGCCAGATTACTGGAAGACGACGACCTCGAATTAGTGGAAGCTCCTCCCGTTTCTACGGGTGGCCATGGAAGGCCATCACCGCCAGGAATAAGGTATGGATTAAGTTTACATCCTCCTCAGCTAGAATCTGTGTTTCACAGGCCTTCCACTCCAGCCAGAGGCGGTAGCAATGCGCCTCCACAGTCAGCCGTCCAGGTTTTCCTTGTTTGAGACTTCCATGTCAGTCGTGCGCTTACCCGAAAAAAAATATTATCTTTTCTCTCAGGGGCAACAAGTAGACAAAGCTGCCAGCCTCCGGAGCTTGGTGGCAATGGGATTTGAACAGGTTTGGTCCTTTCTTCCGCTATCTCGTTTGAGCTGCTAACATCCTCCTTTAACTTTCTACTGGACAGAGCCGAGCAAGCGAAGCTTTGAGTGCTTCAAACGGGGACATCACTACTGCCGTGGAGATTCTCAGCTCCTCGCAGGTCCAAGTTTCTCAAAATTGTGTTTCTTGGTTCTAAAGTTCTTACACGTTGTTATCACTTCCAGGCACATCACTAGCAACCGGGAGGACACTGAGAGACTTGATCGAGGTAAGAGTGAGTTTTCTAGCACTCTGATCGGCCAATTTTCTCCCCCATTGCCAGGTCCTTGGCTTTGAAAAGAAGAAAAAAAAGGAATCAAAGTTCTCCACTCAAACGCGGTGGCATATACGTCCTTCTCTATCATGATTCATGCAAGACGTGCATTGAATTTTGCTTTACTTAATTGGTGGCTAATTCTTTTTTCGGGCACTAGATTGGGCCGGTCAGCGGAACTCGAGGCTTTTAAACTGACCGACGAGTGGGCCACGTGTCGCGTCGGTATTGGCTGGGTTTGGTTCCTCATTAACTGTAGTGGTTTAGGTTTAAGCGGCCCTTTTGGCGAATATTCGGTCCTGCGAATAGGAAGTCGTCACACTTCGTGCGAGCAGCTGGAAACCAGCGATGGCGAAGCTAGGGCAAAAATAAAAATACAAAGCGGCAGTGTCTTGACTATAAGAAAAGAGAGAGAGAGAGAGAGAGAGAGAGAGAGCGAAAGAATAGAGAAAGAATGGAAGTGGAAGTAGAAGAAGGAGAAGCTTCGTTAGCTATGGTGGACTTGTGGGAAGAAGAATAGAAAATTTCCTTCGCTGTGGGCTTACTGTTGGCAGGCAAGAGAGGGATCATGGGATCCATCCCAATCAATCAATCGTCGCGACCGATGCTTTTCTCACCAGCTGGAGGAATTTGAAGACAAGAGAAAAAGGGCAAATCTATGGCGTGAACAGCGATCTTAGTCGATCCTGGGAGCCTACATTGTTCCAGGGAGCTGACAATTTCGCGGCAGAGCAGGCTAGAGCGATGATTTGATCCAGGATTTCGCTAAATTCCGTCACTCAAGGACAGATCCTGGATCCCAATTGGCGATCGTGCCTCAAATCGCGGCTTTGATCGAGCTATCCAGAGAAGGGGGAAGATTTCGCTCGTGTTCTTGCGAGGCAATGGAAGTATGTCCTAAATCGCCAGGGGACGAGGACAATGTGGACGAATCCAGGATGCTGGAATTGACAATCGATGTGCGCGACGACAATGTAAGGGTGAGGAGCGTGAGCGCGCTGGACGATCGCTGCGACGATCCACAGCCCAGCGGCAGGATCACGCTGGCGAGCTTGCTGCGCCACACGACCCAGTCGGGGCGATTCATCTCCAAGCAAATCTCCCAGGAGCTGGAGCTGATTCGCAACTGGGCGGCGAGCACCCCGCGATCGAGGTCGCGGTCGCGGCCCAGCTCGCCGGATCGCGACCGCCTGGTGAAGATCCTGGCGCTGAGCAGGAGCAATAGCGCGGTGTCGTCGCGATCGTCGGCATCGCAGCAGCAGCCGCGAATCCGCAAGCAGCAGAGTGGGGATCTGTTCCTGGCGCGATCGAGATCCGGGGCCGAGACTGCGTTGCAGGGGCTCCGATACATCAGCCGCGCGATCGAGAGCGCGGACCAAAAGGCGGTGTGGGAGGCGGTGGAGATGAGGTTTCAACAGCTCGCCAAGCCGGATGGGATGCTCGATCGTGGCGATTTTGGCCTGTGCATTGGTGAGCAATTCCAATTCCTCTCTCTCTCTCTCTCACACACACACACACACACACTCACAAATTTCCATGATGGATCAAAGTTCTTGCATGATTGGATTGCCTCTACAGGTTCTACATGTTTCTCGTGGTCCATAGCAAGAATTTCTTGACACGTTTCCAGACTTTTGACATTGTTCTTCCCCATTTTGCGTTCTTCTCCTCCCAAGCTCACATAAAACTTTTCTTTTTCTTTTATCTGATTTCTCGGCTGAAATCTCTCAAGCTTGCAATGGTTTTTTCTTCCAGGGATGCCAGACTCGAGGGAATTCACTGGCGAGCTTTTCGACGCGCTTGCACGGAGGAAGCACCAAAACCTCCAGTGCATTAACAAAGAGGAGCTCTACGAGTTTTGGTTGCAGCTATCTGACCAAAGCTTCGACTCCAGGATCCAAATCTTTTTCGATATGTAAGCGCATCACTCCCACTCGTCTCACGTTTTAAATAATCTCATTGCCCGCCACCTTCTTATCGTTTTCTATCTTGTTCTCCTATAATTTAGGTGTGACAAGGACGCAGATGGACGTATCACCGAGGAAGAAGTGAAAGAGGTGCGTGGAATTTAGCTGATAGGTTCCACTTCTATCTTAAATACACTACTCTGTCTTTGGTTTTCGTCCCAGATTATTATTCTCAGCGCTTCGGCCAACAAGCTATCAAAGCTCAACGAGCAAGCCGAGGAATATGCGGCCCTCATCATGGAAGAGCTGGATCCTAGCGGAATCGGCTACATTGAAGTAAGTTTCAAGTTTATAAAACCTTCACCACCTTTTCAATCTCTTCTTTGATTTGCTAGCTCTGGCAGCTCGAGAGTTTGATGCTGGGACAATTCGCATCACTAGCACAAGATGGTTATCTCAATTACAGCCAAACTTGGAGCCAGACTCTGGCATTTGAACAATCCGGGAAGATCATACTCTGTGCCAGGAAGATCAAATACTTCGTCATCGAGAACTGGCAGCGTGTCTGGGTGGTGGGCTTGTGGATCTTTGCAATGTGTGGGCTTTTTCTCTGGAAGTTCTTCGCATACAAGCAAACCTCGGCTTTCAAGCTTCTCGGCTACTGCCTTTGCTCGGCCAAAGGAGCCGCCGAGACACTCAAGCTCAACATGGCTTTGGTTCTCCTCCCGGTTTGCAGGAACACCATCACTTGGCTTCGCTCCACGATCGTGGGAAGTGTTGTTCCATTCGATGACAGTCTAAACTTCCACAAGGCAAGCGTTTAGAACTAAAGTTTCTGAGAACCAAATAGTGAAGTAGAAAGTTCGTGCTGTGGGTTCTAAGTTCCTGGTGACTGATACGTTTGCAGATAATTGCAGGAGCCATCGTTGCGGGGGTTGGAATCCACGCGACGGTTCATCTCGCGTGTGATTTTCCCAGGATCATTCGGGCGAGCGAGGAAGAGTTTATGATCTATCTCGGGCGAGGGTTCCACTACAAGCAGCCAACTTACGTGGGGATCTTGGTTTCTATAGAGGGTGTTACAGGGATTAGCATGGTGATTATGATGAGCATCGCGTTCGTGCTGGCAACGAGATGGTTTCGTAGGAATCTCGTGAGGCTCCCTTGGCCCTTGCACAGGTTGACGGGGTTTAACGCATTTTGGTACTCCCACCACCTTTTCATGGTGGTTTACGTGCTTTTGCTGCTTCACTCCATCTTCTTATTTTTCACAAACGACTGGGTGGCGAAATCAGTAAGCTGGTTACAGTTTGTTTTCCTAGCATGTTGTCCTAACAAAAGTATGAGTTTTGATCTGGTAGACATGGATGTATCTCTCTGTGCCAGTGCTTCTTTACTCAGTGGAGAGGATCCTCTCAGCATTTCGAGCTAGACATTTCACAGTACAAGTTGTCAAGGTGAGAAGTTTCATTGGATTGTGGAAGTTGCTGTTAAACTCTTTTGTGTATATGAAGGCTGCTATTCATCCTGGAAATGTTCTTGCCTTGAAGATGACAAAGCCACCTACGTTCAAGTATAAGAGTGGCATGTATCTATTTATCAAATGTATATCCATCTCTCCTTTTGAATGGTAAGTTAAAGAAAACATTATTTTGGAAGCTATTTACATTGTTTTCAGGCATCCATTTTCTATTACCTCCGCTCCTAGTGACAGGCATTTAAGTGTGCATATACGAACTGTGGGGGACTGGACGGAGGAGCTTAGAAGAATCTTCTCCAAGGTAAGTAGAAAACACTTAGGATAGTATTGTTATTTTGCTTAGGTTTGTTCAAAAGATCTCTTTTGTTTTTCAGGCACTTGGAGGTCTTGCAGAGAAAGAAAATGTTCTGGAGAGTGAGAGCAGCGACATTAGCATCATAAGACACAGGTACACTATTCAAAGGTTACTTATAACTTTTAAATTGCAAGCTTTCTCTCAGATTCCCAAAGCTTCAAATCGATGGACCTTATGGAGCTCCAGCCCAGGATTATCAGAAATATGATGTTTTACTGCTCGTTGGAATTGGAATTGGAGCAACGCCTTTCATCAGCGTTCTCAAAGACATGCTAAACCAAATAAAACTGGCAGATCAACAACAGGTATTATATCTTCATACCTATTATTATTATTGTTTTGCCAGTTCTTGTCGATGAAGCAGATTCGAAGCCCCAGGAAACGAAATGAAAGAAAGCTGCAATGTCCCACGAATGCATATTTCTACTGGGTCACTCGAGAGCAAGGCTCGTTCGAGTGGTTTAGAGGAGTGTTAAACGAAGTTGCCGAGATTGACAACAAGGTGATGCCTGATCATGACAATATCACACTAAAATATATTCTTGCAGGCAGTGATCGAGATGCATAACTATCTCACCAGCGTTTATGAAGAAGGGGATGCTCGCTCAGCTCTCATCACAATGATGCAAGCTTTTCATCATGCCAAGAATGGTGTTGACATTGTCTCAGGAACAAGAGTAAGATCTTTGATCTGATTTCATTTTGATTGCTTATAATAAATCTCTTACCAATACTCAGGTTAGAACTCACTTTGCTCGACCCAAATGGTATAAAGTATTTTCCAGGCTTGCCAACATTCATACAAATTCAAGAATAGGTGAGTGAGATTTTCTATTTTTCTTTTTTATTTTCTTTCTTATTGCATTTGCTTATGAAGGTGTCTTCTATTGTGGACCTATGGTTTTAGCTAGGGAGCTTGATGCATTATCAAGTGAATTTAACCAAATATCCAACTCAAAATTTGAGTTTCACAAAGAAAATTTTTAACAAAATCTTTCATGTTTCAATCAAATTACTAGAAGTTGAGATGCTATTTAAATTATTAAATTTTATAAAGATATATAAATAGAAAATTTTATGTAAAGAAATTGAGAATAGAAAATATAGATATGATGCTAACAATAATAATGTAGTAGGATTTTGATAATCATCTGGAATACAAAAATATGCATATTAATTAATCCAAAAACTTGGTTTATATATAGGAGCAAGTGGTATAGATTGAAACCAATCTTCCATATTCTATGCACTCATATTGGTGGAAGTGAGGGGCAACTTTAATTATCTTTGATGAGTGCTTGGAATTGAGATTTTGGTTTAGATATAACTTTTGTATTGTTTAAGTCTCACTTTCTTTGTAACTTTTTCAATTTATTCTTTTTTACTTTTTTTTCTTTTCATTTATCTTCATAGCAGAGCAGCAACCTCCTCCTCTTTGACACTAGAGTAGCAGTTAGTGCAATTGCTCAATGCCATGCAATTGTAGTTAAACTAGCAACATTCATAACATGTGGTATAACTCCTCTAGCTCTTATTGCCAACCTCATGTCCATTTGGAGTTCTTCCATGGGAATCTTAGAGATGATGTGTACTATTAGTTCAATCACTTTATAGTGATTGCTACTTATTATTTTTGGGATGATACTTAGTGTTTGCGTGAGTTTCCCAAATATCTCCAAGGGATGGCATTGTAGTGGTACAATAGTTTGAGTGCAACCACTCATGTGGATTGGAGAATTCTTGATGATCATTTACGGCCAATAGTACCTTCAATCTTTATTCCACAGTTTCTCTATGCCTACCATGATTCTCTTATTCTAAGCAGGTATATAAGACATTATTGTGTGACCAAGAAGCTGTGTAGGTCTTTTTATTAATCAAAGATGTGATATGATGTTATCTGGTATGTTTGTAATTGTGTTTGGTGCCAAGTTCATAATACTCCCCCTCGTGCTACGGAAGGACAATTAGAATTTTCAAACATGTATTTGGACATGTTGACAATTACGATGATGCCTTCCAACAATTGCATTGTCTTCGGCAAAGGCCATCTAAGTTAGTGATGCAATTTGGCGATCGCTTCTAGAGCCTTTTACTTTGTACAAAGCCAAATATATTAAAGTGGATCAAGTTGGGAATGTTGTAGCTAGCATTTCGTCAAGATCTTGTGAAATTTGTGCATGCACTTGCTCCAACCATCCTTGATGATGCTCTTTGACTAACACAATGTTATAATACATCACCTTTTCCACTTCTCATTGCACATCCTTCCGTTTCACTTCTTATGGGAGATGGTCTTATTCCAATGGAGGTTAATGTTACTGTTGCTCGTGTTCAAGGATAAAGGCAAAGACATGGTCATGGCCGTGATATCTGCTACTGGGGTTAGCCACATGTATCAATGTTATCTGCATTTTCTGGATTAGCATTTTCCATTTTCTAAATGGAGACTTTGGCATCAACAACATCCTATTAGTGTTGTTGTAATGGAAAATCTTGATACAAAGATTCTTCCAGAAAGCTAGGAGTCATGTTAGTAGTGGATGGTTTTTGTGCAAATAAAGAAATGACCCTTTCATCCTTCTTTTAAGAGTATCATCAAGGGGTTCACTCGGCACTAGTTCATCTAGTATTTATTTTCCAAATTTGTTTTTATAGCAAGAGATGATCTATTATTCTCTCTATGTTAGTTGATATAAACTTGAATTTATCTTCTATTGCTCAGCCTATTGCCATACATTGCCATCTATAGTTACATCATGCAACGAAGCCAGTTTTTATTCTTTATAGTAATGGCTATACATATACACATGTATGGGATGAGGCAGATCTAGCGGTGTATATAAGAGATTTCAAGTTTGAATTTCAATCATTATAGGTGGTGTGAGTTAAGCTTTTAACCTCATCTTTAGTATAGATTGGCTACAGTATAATCATGCCAAATATTACTTTAAAGTTTCTCCCCCTTTTCTCATATTTCTTTATATTTCTTTCATTCCTTTCACTTTTTTTTTCATTTTGTCCTTTTACTTTTACCTTTGCCTCCATCATTTTTATTTCTCCATTACTTCCTACTTTATTTCCATCTTGCTCCTCTATTCTCTCTCTAATCCCTCCAACTCCAACACTCTTTGTGTTGCAATAATTCAACTTAGAAAGGAGTATGTTAATATCTTCAACTTTGACCTGTCATTTAGGGCTAAGATTGTAAGACATCATTCTAATCCAATTAAGGATGCCCATCCAATCAAGGTTCTTATTTGGTGTCAATCATCAAAGGAGATCAAGATTTTAGATGTGAACGTCAAGGAGATGTTAGAGGTGTTATCCAAAAGTCTCAAAGTCCTTAGGTGTGTGAACTTCATTTTGTGACAAAGTCTAATGGGAGTATTCACTTTTACATTAACTATCGTCTATTAAACTAGGTGATTATTTCGAATATGTACCCTTTTCTTCACACTATTAATCTTCTGGATCATCTAGGGAAAAGTCATTAGTTCACTAAGTTAGATTTTACTTATGGGAATTGGTAAGTGCCAATGGCCGAGAAAGATATTCCCAAGACTGTTTTTCATACACTATTTAGTTTGTATAAGTTCTTGGTGATGGCATTCAATTTAAACAATGCTTCAATGACTCTTTAGCGAATGATGGACAAAGTTTTTTATGATATGCCAAAACTAACTATTGACTTCATTGATGATGTCTTGATCCACTCGGAGGTATATGGGAAGAGCACATTTGTGATGTTCGTAAAGTGTTGGATTGGCTGTGGGAAATTGGTTTAAAGTTGAATCAATCGAAGTGTGTGTTTGGGTCCAAAGACACAATTTATTTCAGGTATTATATTTTTTATGAAGATTTGCAAATTAATCTTGACAAACACTTATAGCTATTTTAAAGTTCCCAACTCCGAAGTGTGTAAATAATATATAACACTTTTTAGGCAAGGTATAATATCTTGGTTGTTTCATTGATCATTTTTTTGATTGTACTGCATTGCAAGTGTTGCTGAAGTCATCAATGTCATCTTTCATCTAGTTTGTGGATTATGAGTGAGCTTGCATGTGGCACAACCATAATCATGGCCATTAAATCTCTGTAAGGTCAAGTGTTTGAGCTTTTCAATTAGGTCTGTAATTATGGCTGTTGAATCTTTGGAATGTGGAGTGTTTGAGCTGTCTGATTGAGTCTGGAATTAGGACTTCCATTTTGCTTTGTGGGCATTTGCAAATCTCAAAGAGTTATTGATAACTCTTCCAATTTTGGTGTATTCTCACTACACTTAATTTTTCATTTTGCGCATGGATGCTTCTGATACCAATCTTGGAGATATGTTGATGTAAAAGAGCTTGAGTGTGTTTAGTTAGTGCCATCCATTGCATATATCAACTGTACATTATAACTAACAAAGATGAACTACTCCACAATAGACAAGGAGTGTTTAACAACAGTGTGGGGTTTTGAGAAGTTTCATGCATATTTGCATAGTTCTTGAACATTACTAAAAGGTGATCATGCTATGGTTACTTTGTTATTTAAGTGGAATAATTTTCTTGGTGGGCCTTGAAAGTTTCAGATATATGATTTCGAGGTTGTTTATCGTTTAGAAAGTTCTATAACTAATGTTAATGCCATTTCTTAAGCTCTTCTTCCTTCTTCACTCTCTTCTCTTGTTCCTAATGAGCATATTATTCTAGCATCTATGGATTTTTTGGATAAAGATTTTGTGCTATCAACAGTTATTATACTTAATGTTCATTGTTCACAAGATATAGAGCAAAACTTACTTTCTTTTTTTGAGGTTCCTGAGGCTTTAGGGTTTATGCCCTAAACCCTAATAAAGTTCTTGAGGCTCAAAAGTTTGAGCTATGGATCCAAATGCTTTGGGAGGGGTTTGAGAATTTTGCTTTAATTGCTGATGACTTGCCATTTTAATATTTATATTCTTAAGATTGTCTTGAGGACGACCTTCCTTATTTTGTGGAGATAAATTTTAATGATCATTTATAACTAATGGTTGCTAGTGCGTCTACAATTGTTGTTAAATACTTCCTTCTCAATTGAATAGTGTTCTTACTTTTATATAAGGGGGTGTGGGGCTTGTAGGGGTTTCAAAATGTATGTTCTACTATTGCTCTATGCTTTTATCCCTCACTCCTTGGGTTGTACACTCATAAGTCATTCTGTGTTTTAGTTTCTTCGTTTGTTAGTTATATTTTTGAGCATTTGGCTCTATCTTTTTCTTCAGTGGCCCAATGCCCTAAAACTTAGGTTCCACTCTATAGTTATCCTATGATAAATCACCATAAAAAGAAAGGTGAAAACCATGTGTACTACAATCCTCCAAGCTGTCAGCCACACAATCACATTGCACAAAACTAGAACCTTAGTCATAAATTTTTCATGCATTTCTTTAGCTTGGTAGTGCTAAAGTTGAAGTGATATATATAGGGCCAAGGAGGTTTCTACATTATTAGAATCATATTCCCTCTTTAAAGAAAAATTGTGGATGCTTCAATAGAGTCTAACATTTGCAAGTGCCTAGTAGACTTCCCTACTAGCCTTAGTAGCAAGCATAGATCAAGCATCAATAAGAGCAGATCAAGCAGCATTGGCAAAAGTAAGTCAAGTAGTAGGATGCAAGTTCTAAGCTCTCTCTCTCATATCCCTACAACATACTTTTATGCATGCTCTATGAAGAAACAAGAACACTAAGCCTCTTGGATGGCTCTGAAGAAAAATGACAAAGAAAATTAAAGAACCCTAAACAAAAGGACTGTGGCTCAATGTGGTGGAGAACAGGTGGAATACCCAAATTGCAGCCTTGTTTGTTTTGAGTAAATTTATATAAAATCTATAACCTGAAGCCAAGCAGGCAACAAAGCTAATAACCTCCTTATATGCTGCTGTAACAACTTGAACAAGCCACTTCTTGAAACTCCTATTAGAAAGAGTAGTGTTGTATTGTATTTATGTGTGTGACCAAGTTAAGGCCTAAGTACTTGCCATGCCACCCTTTTTTACTGCC